GGGACCCTGCCGCCCTGGTCCTGGCCACACCGCTTGGCTGTGGCGCCTGCACTTCCTCCCACAGCCATGCTCCTTCTACTTCCCAACCTCCATTCAAAACTCATTTATCTCCTTTGTCTCTCCTGGGCCTCCCCTCTGACCTCTGACACCACCGATCCTACAGAGGTCACCATAGAGGTCACCACAGGAACGCCTCCTGGCTGCATGTGTCCAGCAGTGGGGTCGGTGAGGTCAAGGTGAGGCCGCCTATGAGGAAGTGAAAACTTGCGCTGTGACGGCCCCATATCCTTTGGCCCTACCCTGCATCAACGACAAAAATGACAGCCGGAGGCCTGTGTGAGGAACTGAACACAACCCCACTCCTTCTGCCTGAGATGGGCACCTGCCGACACACTAGCGAGACACGGGTACGCACGCACCGGCAATCCGCCCTGGTGTGCGGTCGGAGGGCTGGCGCACACGGGACATAGCGCACAGGACACAGCACACGGGACAGCACACAGGACACAGCACACAGACACAGCACACGGGACAGCACACAGGACATGGGACGCAGCGCATGGAACACAGCACACGAGACAGCACACGGGACAGTGCACAGGACACGGGACAGCACACAGGACATAGGACGCAGCACACACATACACACCGCTGCATCTTGACAACTGCGGGATGAGGAAACAGGTTGGGACACACCTGCCGCTGACGCAGCCGCGTCTCCCAGTGCACGAGGCAGAGCCGGCCCAGACGGATCTCCTGTGACCTTCGGGGCCGGGCCCTCTCTGAGCTTCTTGAATCTTCCGGTGGCCACAGACCCCACTAACAGCAGGACAACGCCGGGGGCGCTCCTCAGGAAAAGGCATGCTTGCATCACCTCTCACACTTTGGGGTGCAGACTCCTGAGGCCGCCGCAGACCCACACGCCGGGCGAGAAGGCCCAGCCCAGAGCAGCCTAAACCCCTGCCCGTAACAGGATGACCCCAACACGGCTCCCGCTGACCCGGGGACGGCACACACCAATCGGCGTGGCCTCCAGTCAGCTTCCTCCCGTGACTAAGGGTCGATCCTGGCTGATAGGATCCCCCAAGTCACCCCCCGAAAACCGACGGTCACTCTTAACCAGCAGATGAGAGATAGCCGGAACCTCAGACCCACATCTCGGCCCGCAGAACCCAGGCTCCCCTCCCCCACTTCCTCAGAGCCGGCCGCCACCCTCACTGGAACCTGCCCATGGCCGGCTCACTTCCTCGTCCCGGGCAAGCCGCCCCCAGAAGTGCCTCTCCTGTGCCCCACGAAGACGCCTGCCTCCAGGGCCCTCCCACACCAGCTTTCAGTTCTCAGACGTGAGGTTCCTCTCCCACGTCAACAATGGGACCTCCTTCCAGAGACACACGAGGAAACAGCTCTGACGTCCCCGCGGGGCACCTCTGGGCTGGGGCTGAGCACGGGGAACCAAGCCTAGCACAAGTTCTAGAATAAACGAGGCCAGGCAGCAGCCTATTGTGATCGGGGAAAATTACCGTAGAAACCGTTTCTCAACAAATCGCTGTAGTAACTACTTTAGAAAAAAACAGACCTACTATCATGTAAGAAAATGATCACTTTGTATGCGGGGTGGGGTGGGGGAGGGGGGCTTGCTGGTGCTTTTGTGGTCCAATCCATAAAGCGGGGTATATGTGTGTGCACATGTGCATGTGCACGCGTGTGCGTGTACATGTGTGCACGCGGCGAGTGTGTGCATGTGCGTGTGTGCCTCAGGTATACGCTCCAAGGCCAGCAGCCTCAGCATCACCCAAGTCCTCAGTTGACTGGCAAACACTCAGGCTCCATCCTGCACCGACTGAGCCAAAACTCTGAGGGTGGGCCGCTATCTGTGTCTTAAGGACCGCTCGGCACCCGGGTCCTCTGAAGGTCAGACCACTGCCCTGAGGCAGGCGTGGGCACACGTGGGGTTGCCGTGTGGGTCCCAGGTCGAACTGTAAAAACACAGCCGGCTGCTCAAGTCACCCCCAATCCCTTCTCAAGAAACCTGTGTGAACTTCACACAGCAGGACATTCTGCCGTCACCACACTGCCCACACCTACAGTGTAAGCCCATCTCTCCGACACTGAGCACAGACAGCGGGCACATACAATACACACCCATGCACACAGTGACTGGACGCCACGGGCCCTGGACTGACGCCCTCAGAACCGGGTGAGCACGGCTGTAACGCTCCCGACCCGCTGCGGTCCCAGCAGCTCAGTCCCCTGTGCAGCCTGCCTCGCTGATGGCTGACGTCTCCTTCTAAAAAGATCCGTCTCCCCTTAGGCTCCTCACTAAATATACTCCAAGGGCGGCCGCCCGAAGTCCCCGAGCAGCTTCCAAAGATGCTGAGTGATGCCGGCGACACCCGGGCAGGAGGCCAGGCCTCGCGGGCGGCCGTTCCAAGGCGACGGTACTTGCTCGGCATAAAGACTCCAGGACCAGGACAGCCTGGCCTGGGAACATGCAGACTCACGGCCTTATAATAACTCACATCTGGCACGACGCAGAGACGGCAGCGGTGACGAGAATAGGAGACCTTCCCGCGAGCGGCTGCTGCGCGTGTGCGGCTCAGAGAGGACGCGGCGGGTGCCCGGCGCTGGGGGAAGCCTCAGCCTCTTCTGATGAAGCGCCAAAGCGCGAGCGCAGGGGGGAGAGGGCACCAGGCACGCAGGGAGGGGGAGGGGGCCTCAGCACAGGGGCCTGGGTCAGGGGTACAAGGAGCCGGGCTCACCGGGGTCCTGCAGCGTTCACCAACCTGAGGCTCCCGCGGGCCGATCCCAGGAGGAGAGGGATTCACAGGCGGGTAACCTGGGAGAGGTTGAGACTGCGCTCCTCTCGCAAGCGCATCAGCACCGTGAAGCTTTGGCGGGCCCGGCCAGTGCGGGGCCCAGTGGTCAGCAGCCCTCTCAGCCTCTGGCTCCAAGGCCATGGGCTCAGGAAGGGTCCTTTCCTGGGAGGCAAGCTGGGGAGACCGGGGCTCCCCCCCGGTCTGCGTGGGTTTGAGTTGAACGGCCTCTGGACTCTCTCAAAGGGGTCTGGTCCCTGTGAAGGGGGCGCAGCCCAGAAAGAATGCCTCGGACGAAGGGTCCCTGCTCCTGATGCCAGAAACTCCGGGGAAGGTCCGTGACCGTGTGTGTGACGCCGTGTGACGCGGGCGGACACGGACAGGAAACCAGTCCCGGTAGCCGCTGCTCTCGGGCTGGCCCACGGTGGACGTGGAAGGAACGGGGGTTGGAATGAGTGTCCGCTCCCTGCAGGCCACCTGCTGCTCCGACCCTTCGTACTCACTGTCAGTTGCCACGGCCAACACGGCACAAAGCTGTGATGTGTCATGGGCAGCGTAACTTCCTCAAGACAGAGGCTATCCCGCGTCTAGCCAAGCCCCAGAGCCTCAGAGCCACACCTCAGACCCTCAGAGAGCCCAGCCCGGCCCCGCAGAGCCCAGCCCGAACGCCCGAGCCCAGTCCCGAAGGGCAGAGCCAGCCTTGAAGGAGGAGCGAGCCCTACGGGCCTAGCCTAGCACCAGATCCGTGGCCTTTCATTTCGGTCACAGGGTTTTATAGTTTTCAGTACAGAGTTTTTACATATTTTTGTTTAATCCCATCGTGAATGCATTTGGCAATTCTTGATGGTCACTAGGCTGTTTGGGATGCTGGCTTGCCCAGCCCTCCGTGGGGGAGGCAAACACAGCTCACAGGACTTTACTGGGGGTGTGGGGGGTTAGGTGGACACACACGTCCAGAACGCTCCCTCCTGACAGCACGACCCCCAAGCCATCCCCAGCCTGGGAGGGAGACCCTGTGAGGGAGGGTGAAGGGGACGTGCAGCCAGTGGGCGGCCCCCCCACCCCGGCGCCTCCCTCAGGCCCCGCGTGTCTCCATCCCCAGGGTGGGGTGCTCTCCCCACGGGCCGTCTCCGCAATCCATCAGCCCGATTCCGATCTCTCGGGGGTCCCTCCCCATGTCTGGTCCCCTAAGGCTGCCACTGGCTTTTGAGTGAACGACAGTCACTTGATGACTTACAAACTGTATTTTCTATCCGTTGTCAGGTTTTGTGCAGGAGGCTGACCTGCCACATGTGCAGCCTGTGACCTTGAAGTCCAAGGCGGTGGTATGTGTTCTTTTAAAAAGAACTCATTTATATAAGACTAGACCGAATATTACGTGGAATAGTTGACTATACACTACTATTTATTCATTTTCTTCCCAAACTAGAAAGGCGAGAATCGGGCTGAGAGAGAAGTGGGAAGGGCATCGGAATGATTAGCCGCACAATGTGAGGAACAGGGCAGGACCGGGCCCGGCGCTGGCCCACCAGCGTGGCGAAGCTGGTTCTGCTGCCCAGGGAACAGAAGTACAACGTGGGGCACGGTGGGGGACGGGGGACAGGACCCCACACCAGGACCGGACAATGAGCAAAGCAGAAACACTTCTAAAATGTAAGCACCCCAGCTCACCTGTGTAATTGCACGCCCAGAAAAAAGGGGATTTAGTCTCCCAAAGACCTTGTCTGCATACATGCATAACCCACAGGCACAGACAATGGGGCGGTGAGGGCCTGGGGCAGGGCCTGGAGGAGGTCAATGGGGGAGATAAGGGGGCATGTGTAATACTTTCAACAATATTTATTTATAAATAAAGACCCCTAGCCAGTGTGGTTCAGTGGATAGAGCATCAGCCTGTGGACTGAAGGGTCCCAGGTTTGAATCCGGTCAGGGCATACACCTGGGTTGCGGGCTCGGTCCCCAGTAGGGGGCATGTGGGAAGCCGCCGATTAATGATTCTCATCATTGATGTTTATATCTCTCTCTCCCTCTCTCTTCCTCTCTGAAATCAATGAAGGGAGGGAAGAAGGGAGGGAAGGAGGGAGGGAGGGAGGGACTTAGTTGGTTATTCGCTAACAGTGACGGAGCCGGCGGCCTGGGGCTCAGGGGCAGTGCTGCCCACGGAGAAGCCCAGGGCCGGGGACTCACCCAGCCCGGAGATGTTGATCGCTTTCACGGATTTCTTCATTTTGTACAGAACCATCCGGTCCACGTCCAGAGCCTGAAACGAGAGGACAGACTCATCAGCACGGGGTGTGGGCTCCGGTCACGGCTACCGGAGGGCGGCCACGTGAGGGTCACTCCGAGGCCGCTGCGTCTGCTTCGCGGGACAAATCCCGAGCGGCGCGAGGATCAGGCCGCCCTCAACGCTGACCCCTCCCGGGCCTCGCCCACCCGAAGCGTGTGCGCTGCCCCTGCACACACCCCGCCGGCCTCGGCCTCCTGTGAGAACCCGGTCCTCTTAGCCAACTCCACTGCCAACCCTCCGTTCCCCCTGGGAACCAGCCAGGCGCCGGGCCAGGCCTGGGCTCCAGGAACGTCGCGGGCAGGTGCACGGCTGGAGTGCGGTGAGACGGACTGCCGTCACCCCACCCAGGACGCCACCTTGGACAGCGCCCCCTCCCTGGCCAGAGGCAGCCGGGTAGCGGGAGGCAGGCCCACGCTGGACTCGGAAAGGCCCAAACATACCCTTGTTTGTTGGCTTGGAAGGCGTGGTCCCCATCCCTGCCAGGCCTCAGACTCCTCTCCAGAAAGCGGGGTGGGGGGTGTGGGGGGTGGGGGGGACAAGACCTCCTTTGCAAGGGCGACTGATGAAATAGACACTCTGTGTATTGCACATTCAGCAAACGTTTACCGACCAGCCACCAGCGGCAGCGGCTGCGCACTCAGTGTGCCCTGCCTGGAGGTGTGCACACGCGACGTGCTCAGGGACGCGGCTCGGAGGTCTAACAGCTCCGCGTCTACGCAGGCGACGGGAGAGGCTCCTTCCCACCCAGGGAACCCACAGGCGGCCGGCGGGCCACTCTGAGCTGTGCCGGGAGGGGGCCACAGGGTCCTGGGATAGGGACACTGACCACAGGGCTCCTGCACGGACGAAGCGATGCCCTCGGGGCACAGCCTGGCCATCTCTGGGCGCTAACAGTACCGATTGCTCATCCTGAGTTTTGACCATAAAATGTTGCAGCGCCTCTCACCTGTAACAGAGCGCCCGCCGCAGTCACGGGCTCTGGGCTCCAGTCCCCGGGGTCACCTCCCAAACCCACACTCAGCAGCATCCTAAGTCCTGGTTTTACGCAAGGACTTTATATATATATTGATTGACTGATTTCAGAGAGGAAGGGAGAGGGAGAGAGCGAGAGAAACATCAATGAGAGAGAATCATGGATGGGCTGCCTCCTGCACGCCCCACACTGGGGGTGGAGCCCACAACCAGGGCCTGTGCCCTGACCGGGAATTGAACCATGACCTCCTGGTTCACAGGTCGACGTTCAACCACTGAGCCCTAAATAGGCCGAAGAAGGTGACCGTGCATCTGTTTAGGTGCATGTACAGCTGAGAGGAAACGGGAGAGAAGCACAAATGCCTGACCTGGGGACAACCCCGCCAACGACAGGGCCCCCGACGGGCTGAATTCTGACGACAGCAAGGAGGTTCCACTCGCGAGAACGGCGGGCGGAGGGCGAACAAGCCGTGACTGTGAAGGGTGCCGTGTTGTCAGGAGCCTCCGGGCTCGCAAAGTCCGAGGCCCCCAGTGCCACCGCCCACCCTGGACCCCGGCCCTGCACACGGCAGCGGTGAACGCCCGAGACACGGAAGCAGATGACAGGGAACTGCGGCTCCTGAGGTTGCCCGCCCTGGTGTTGGGGGGAGGGGAGGGGGAGCTGACAATGGGGTGAATGCACCAGCAGCACGGAAGGCCCCCCAGTGCCCGCCCTGGTGCCCTCTTCCCGGGGGAGACGCAGGGCAGGGCGCCTGCCTGGATCCCGACGCCTCCTGGCTCCGGCTCTGCCCCGGGACCGAGTGAGGAGCTCAGACACAAGGCCGGAGGCGCTGTCTCGGGGGGATCCTCACAAACAAACAGGGACCTCGTAGCAGAAGGTGCGCCCTCGTCACTGTCACGGAAGGAAGTGGGAGGAGGGGGGCGGCCCCACGCTGGGCTGGACCCAGAAGCCCTGGGGCAGGAGCAGCGGAGGCTGGGAAGGTGACCTTCAGCTGGGAGTGAGGTCAGCCTCCCACGAGGTCCCAAGCCCAGAAGACAATGGGGGAGAAGCAGGCGCTTTCCCCAGGGAACAGGATCGAGCTACGCGAATCCACCACGTGACGCACACAGGGGAGAGGAGATGTGAGAGAGCAGCTCTCTCTCTCTCTCTCTCTTCCTTTTTGAATATATTTTTATTGATTTCAGAGAGAGGAAGGGAGAGACAGAGAGAGGCTCACCCACGGAGGCGCCGGCCAGGCTCCTGCCTTCTCCCATGGAGTGCGGGTGTGATCGCACCTCGGCACTCGGACCACCGGGAGCCCGAAGGCTGCCTCGCTTGTGACGCCCCGGGCGGTCAGCGTGGGACGCAGAGCTCTGGCCACCGCGCGGAGCCCCCTCTGCCGGCTTCTGTCCCCTCAGCCGCCAGGCGCCCCTCCTTCCCATCGGCCCCCACTTGACCGCGGGGCCTGGACTCCAGGGCCGCCGAGTGAGCTCCTCTGATCTCGGCTCCTGGAGGGGGTCCAGACGGCGAGTGGCTGAAAGTCCGACCTCGGATAAGTGGGCACGATTATGCCTAAGAGCCGGAACGTCGCCCCGAGGCTATCAGAGGTTATCAGAGTGTGTGGAGGGCGCGGGGACTGGGGCCAAACAGGGACAGTGCCCCGGATCCACGACTTGAGCACAAGTGGAGAGGAAGGAGGAGGAGACGAGACGGCAACAGGAACTGGGAGCGTGTGCAGGAGTAACGGGGGCGGCTCCCACCCACTGACCAGCCACCCCCTGCCGGGTCCTGGCCCTGGCCCTGGGCCCTCTGAACACAGTTTCCTTGACTTGGGGACAATATCCTCCCCACATTTCAGATGAGGATGCTGAGACCTGAGGACGCTTGGAAGACGGGAGACACGAGCCAGGAAGCAGCACGGGTGGGACTCGAACCCTGGAACAAAGGCGCCAGTGCCCATCCATGTTCCTCCCACCCAGCCTCACGGCCTCAGACACCTTGTAACAGGCGCACCAGCAAGTCCACAGATGCACTCAGAACAAAAGCAAGGTCGGGCCCAGCCTGGCGTGGCTCAGGGGCTGAGCATCAACCCATGAACCAGGGGGTCATGGTTCGAATCCTGGCAGAGCACATGCCTGGGTTGCGGGCTCGATCCCCAGTGTGGGGCGTGCAGGAGGCAGCCGATCGATGATTCTCTCATCACTGAGGTTTCTCTCTCTCCTTCTCCTTCTCCCCTCCTCTCTGAAATCAATAAAAATACATTTAAAAAACAAAAACCAGGTCCAAGGCCAACGTCCTGTTGGGCAGGCGAGCAGCTGGCACTGACCACCTGGTGTCAGTGGGGCCCGAGCTTGGGGAGACTCCCTGGGCCTCCGGGGATCTGGAACCATCCCCAGACGGCATCCCCTTGGCAACGGGCAAGTCGGCCTTTTTAATTGAGGAGCAGAGAGTTCACCCTCATCAAGGTTTCCAGCTGCTCCTTCCGCAATGCCAAGTCCAGGCAGCCGGTGCCCTGGAAGCTCACGGGCAAGCCAGCTGCTGCCAGGCAGCCCCGTCCCCGACAACCAGGCGTCGCCCGCCTTTCCCACCAGGCGCTCCGGCGTGGGCAGATCCGGGCTCCGTGTGCTCACCGTCAGGCCGAGCGCCTGGAATCTCTATTTTAAAAAATATATTTTTACTGATTTCAGAGAGGAAGGGAGAGGGAGAGAGATGGAGACATCAATGATGAGAGGGAATCATCGACCGCCTGCCTCCTACTGGGGATCAAGCCCATAACCTGGGCATGTGCCCTGCCCGGGAAATGAACCGTGACCTCCTGATTCGTAGGTCGACGCTCAACCCCTGAGCCACGCCGGCCGGGCTGGAATCTCGGTTAATAACAGCAGCATGATGATTATACACCCTGTTGTCATTAATACTGGATCCTGCACCTGCTGCCAACCGTAGGCGTCACTGACCAGGCAGCATCGCACTGGCTCCTTCTGACCCTCCTGAGAGCAGGAGGCAGAGTAACCGGGGCCAGGCTACCAGCAGCCGGTCGCAGGTCACACCCGGTCGCAGGTCACACCTGGTCCAGGCTGTGCCGTTCAGCTGGCAGGTGCCCTGAGTGCCGGCTGCCCGCCCGTGACGCGCGTGCCCACCTGCCGCGTGCCCAGCAGCAGCGTGTTCCTGTGGGAAGCACCGAGCCCACGCGGTCTCCCTCGAGGCTGACAAAGGACCCCCTCACACTTTCCCTTCCTCTCACCACACACCCGCTGACACATGCATAACCTATTAAATCCACCTCCCGCGCCGGCCCACCTGGCTCAGGGGTTGAGTGTCGACCTATGAACCAGGAGGTGCAGGTTTGATTCCCGGTCAGGGCACAGGTCCAGGTTATGGACTCGATCCCCAGTGGGGGGCGTGGAGGCAGCCGATCCACGATTCTCTCTCATCACTGATGTTTCTCTCTCTCTCCCTCTCCCTTCCTCTCTGAAATCAATAAAAAATATATGTATTTTTAAAATGCACCTCCTGCTCGCTCCATAAGCACTAAGGGGTGCCCGGCCGAGTGTTCGGGCCAGTCATGAAGCATCGTCCACCCTGTGGCACCGCCTGAGAGACCCTGTTAGTGCTTCTGTCCCTGAACCACGCACACGTCGGAGCCCCTGAGGCAGAAGACCCACTCCCCCCTCCCGCCAAGGGAACTGCGAGGAGCCGGAGGAGCCGGAGGAGCCGGGAGCCACAGCCCGTCCTGAGAAGGGCTCTCTGCCCCCTCCCCACGCCCAGTTGCGACTGCAGGGTTTCACACCCTCCCGGCCTGTGTAGATCAACGCTCGCTTGCTCCTCCAAAATCAAGCATCCGCGTTTACCCCTAGCGTAACCCAGGCTTGTTAAGGGACTCTGCATGTGAAGCCTGAATATAAGCAAAGGTCTGTACTGACGAATTTATACAAAAGAAATGTTTCCAGCCCTGGCCGGTGTGGGTCAGTGGCTAGAGCACCGACCTTTGGCATGAAGGGTCCCGGGTTCAGTTCCGGTC